CTCAGGCTTGGTGGGAAGTACAGCTTACCTGCTGAGCCATCCCACGAGCCCATGTGGATGGTTTTCAAACCCTGGGTGATGAAAAGGAAATCTGAGGCCAGCCCCTGGACCATGGTGGCTCCCAGGATGTATTTGTGGGTCCAATTTGTGCTGTGACTCATGCTTTTTACGAAAGGAAGGTGCCTTGCCAAATTACTTTCACTTTGTGTATTTCTTTATACAGTACTGGGAAAATTTGTTTCTAATAATGTAATTGAATTTTGTTTCTCATAGTTCCGAATGCGGCAAAGTCTGAGCTCAAGAGTCAGCAGGTTCAGAGTCTGGAAAGGCTGGCCTCTGATTTCAAGTCTGAGATCAAGAGTCAGTGATTCTGGAAAGGCTGCCCTCTGATTTCAAGCCTGAGATCAAGAGTCAGTGATTCTGGAAAGGCTGGCCTCTGATTTCAAGCCTGAGATCAAGAGTCAGTGATTCTGGAAAGGCTGGCCTCTGATTTCAAGTCTGAGATCAATCAGTCATTGTTGTCATGTTTGAGACAAAACACCTTACCAAAGCAATTCCCTGAAGGCAGGTTCGTCTTCGCTCACGGTTTCAGGGGAGGTAGTCCATTATGGTTGTAAGGCATGGCAATGGGAACACGAGGGACATAGTCACCCTGCATCCGCTGTCAAGAAAGAGAGAGATGAGATCTGATTTTAGTTCACTGTGGTGGTTGGATGGGGATGGCTCCCATAGGCTCATATATTTGAAGACTTGGTCCCCACTTAGTGAAACTGTTTGGGAAGGGTTAGGCCTTGTTGGAGGAGGTGTGTCATTGGGAGTGGTGTTTGTGCTCTAAAAGCCCACACACCATCCCCAGTTATCTCTCTCCTGGATGGTTGTTTTCTCCATATGTAAAGTCTCAGCTAGCGCACCATGAAGCTCCAGCCCCATGCCTGCCTCTTGCTATACTTCCTGCCATGGCAGTCATGAATCCACTACACTCTGGAATCGTGAACCCCAAGTTAAACGCTTTCTTTCATGAGTTGCCCTGCTTTGTCGTAGCAGTAGCAATGTACCTAAGACAGAAGTTGGTACCAGGCACTCTGACTTGTCACTGTGACCTGCCTGAATGTATGTTTTGGAGGAATGTAGACACTTTGGAATTTTGAAATAGAAAAGTGGTTGAATACTGTAAGTGGGGCTTAATGGGCCATGGTAGTAGAAGTTCAGAAGATAGTGCTGCAGACAGTGTGGACTATGGGTGCCTAGTTCAGGGGTTTGCGGGAGGGAAACAAGCTTAGCAACTGGGTAAGAGATCATTCTCGTGGTATTTTTGGAAAGAATAGTGCTATTTTTTTTTTACCTTGGCCTAAAACTCTGCCTGAGGCTAAACTGAAAATGTTTGGACCAATTTCACGGACAGAGGTGATTCTACGACAGCCTAGTACTGACTTTGTCGTGTGATAATTGGGGATCACTCTTAACGCAGACCTACAAGGAAAAAGAGCATGCAGGGCAAAGAGAAATCCAAAATGTACAATCTGAAGAGAAAGAGAACACAAGGAAATTTCCTGTTGGAGCCTTGGTTTATGCTCAAAGAGACAAGAGAAAAAATGGAATAAAGGGAGTGGTGCCTTCGGGTCAAGACACCACTCAGCTAATCTTGAAACTCTGAAAGGAAAAAGCCTCAGGGATTTCCTCTGTCTCAAAGCAACTGTACTGGAAATCTTATGCAAATGCAAATCAAGGAGGCAGCCAGGTTTCAGCCCAAGCAGCCTGCAGAATTTGGCAGTTTTGGGCCTGTGGTTCTGGCTTTAGGATCTTGAAGAATACAGGAGGAAAGGAATCTTCCTCTGAAGTAAAGGAAAGCCACTGAGGCTAAGCTTGTGGCAGAGGAGTACCTGCATGGAGGCCTTGGGAGAGCATTGTGAAAAGCTGTGAAGGTGGAGCCTGGATTGTTTAGAGACCCCAGGCTGTTAGAGTCCAGAGCCAAGGAATACCTGCCAAGGAGAGCAGCACAAAGGGAGTGGAGTCTGTCCAAGAGAAAAGTGTGCTGCAGGGAACATAGCTGGAGGCCAGAGCCGTCTAAGCCTTTGATACCAGACGTAGAGCTACAGGATTAGGAGCTTGCTCTGCTGGGTTTTAGTCTTGTTTTGGTCCAGTATTTCCTCACTACTATGATAGGATGCAAGATAAATCTTGGCAGATGTGTAGGAGACAGAGATTTATTAGAGAAAGGGAAGGGATGGAGGGGAGAGATAAAGGGAGCACAGAGCTTCATGGGAAGAGAGAAAGAAAAGGAGAGAGACAGAGAGACAAACAGAGAGAGAGAGACAGAGATGCAGAGAGAGGAAGAAGAGGAAGGAGTAGGTGGATCTATTTGCCGTTTAAAGGGACAGGGCAAGGCCACACGGTAGGCCAGGGTACGGCCTGCCATGCACACAGGGGTGACACACTCTGCCAGGTCCCCAAGGTGCGGGGCTAGGTGTGCGTGGATGCTAACACTCACTATGCCCCATTCCTTCCTTTTGGAATAGTAATGGATATTCTGTGCCATTGTATTACGTAATTCATTTTTTAAAATTTTATAGGTTGTCATAATTAAGACATTGCCTTGAGTCTCAGAAGAGACTTTGGACTTTTATACTCCATTGAGGCTGTGAAAGCCTATGGGGACTTGTGAGGTTGGACTATGTGTATTTTCATTATGCTATGGCTACGAGCCTATGAGAACCAGGGAGTGGAATGTGATGGTTTGAATGAGAATGGCCCCACAGAAGCCTTCCACGTCTCTTATCCTCAGTTACGAGTCAACAGTCATCAGTGCCACTGCAAAAGAAGTTTCCTTGCCCAGAGCAACCAGTGGCAGGCAACTTGGATCATGGACATCCACATGGTTTCTGGCAGCAGCACAGACCCTGGATGTTAACATGGCTTCTGGTTGCAGCATGGATCACAACCATCAACATGGCCTGTGGTGGATCATGGGTACCAACACGGCCTCCAGTGGTAGCATGAACCCGAAAGTCTCTCGGAGGAGACCCAATCCAGAAGATGAATTGTTTGTCTCAGACATCTTGTTGCTCACAGTCAGGATGATTGTGCAGCTGAGCGGCAGTGTCTGGGGCAGGACCCTTGAGAGCTTCAGGCTGTTGTACACTGTAGTAGGAGGCCGTTTGTTGGTTCCTGGCTGCTCAACCCCAATAACCACATAGAAACTGTATTAATTAAATCACTGGCCCATTAGCTCTAGCTTCTTATTGGCTAGCTCTTCTATCTTTTTTTGTTGTTGTTTTGTTTTTTTGTTTTGTTTTTTGTTTTTCGAGACAGGGTTTCTCTGTGGTTTTGGAGCCTGTCCTGGAACTAGCTCTTGTAGACCAGGCTGGTCTCGAACTCACAGAGATCCACCTGCCTCTGCCTCCCAAGTGCTAGGATTAAAGGCGTGTGCCATCACCGCCCGGCTAACTCTTCTATCTTAATTTAACTCATTTCTATTAATTTGTGTATCACCACAAGGCTGTGGCTTACCAGGTAAAGTTCCAGCATCTATCTCTGGTGGGGATACATGGCTTCTCTCTGACTCTGCCTCCTTTCTCCCCAGCAGAGTTTTCCCTGCCTAGCTAAGTTCTCCCTTGCTATAGGCCAAAACAGTTTCTTTATTCATTAACCAATAAAAGCAACACATAGACAGAAGGACCTCCCACACCAGTACACCACCTTACCTTTGGCACTGGGCACCCCACTGATATCCCAGGCATGATCATTGTGTTTGCAACCCAGGCATACTGCTATTACCCTCTAAGTCCCCAGCAGGGGAAGAGGAGCCATGCTGCTCCCTGGCTGAGTGGTGGCACTGGCTCAGCAGACTGCTACAGGTTGAGGTAGGCCAGTGGTGGTCCAAGTCTCTCAGAGGCCCAAGGACTGGCCTTACTTGACAATGACCTTCTCCTTTGTCTGCAACAGCCATACTCCCATACCTGTTGCCACCGTGTCCCTCAGGCCCCACATCTTAATACTATCATCTTGGGGGTTAAAGGCCAACATAGGAATTTTGCTGGAATGCAAACTTTTAAAGCATAGCAGGTCTATTAAGTGGGAAAAAAAACCCTTATTAATTATCAGGAGCAGACTACATTAGCAAGTTATGTATATGCATCTAATGACAATTGGATAGCAATGAAAAAGAATAAACTACTTCTACAGGGACCCAAAGAGATCGTTCGGCCATGCTGTGCCAGCATGAAGGTCTAAGTCTGCATCTCCAGCATCCACATAAACAGTCAAGCTTGGGGGGTGCCTATAATTTCAGTTCTGAGGAAGATGAGACTAGCAGATGGCAGGTACTCACTGGCCAGTCAGCTGAGTCAAATGGGTGAGTTCTGGGTTAAGTGAAAGACACTGTCTCAAAAGTAAGGTGGAGCCGTGAATGGCGGTGTCCATCTTTAATCCCAGACCCCAGGAAGCAGAAGCAGGCATTATCCATGTAGTGAGGTTCAGGCCAACCAAGACTGTACAGTGAGACCCTATCTAAAAATAACGAAATGTGGGTGAGAGATTGAGAAAGGTATCTGACTTTAGTATTTGGACTTCACACACACACACAACTCCCACACACATACAAAGGCAAAACTATTGATCTATGTGAAAACCAATTCATGGATGTACGGCATAGAGATAAAATTTGAGCAAAATTAACCAAATATGGAACTATAATGTATTAGTCAGGGTTCTCCAGAGGAATACACATACACACACACACACACACACACACGTAAAGGGGGGCAGTATTAGGTTGTCTTACAGGCTGTGGTTCAGCTAGTATAACGATGGCTGCCTACCAATGGAAGGTGCAAGAATCCAGTAGTTCTTCAGTCCACAAGGTTAGATGTCTCAGATGGTCTTCAGTATACACAGAATCCAAAAGATGTAGGGTCTAATGCCAGTGTAGGAATGGACTTGCTAGCAAGAACAAGAGCGAGCAGGCAAAGAGAATAAGCTTCCTTCTTCTTTTTACTTTATAGGCTGCAAGTAGAAGGTTGGGCCCAGATTAAAGGCCCACCACAGACGATCCAGAACAGAAGTGGCTCTTCCTACTTCAAATGATTTGAGTAAGAAAAAAAAAATCTCTTGCCAAGTGGTGGTGGCTCATGCCTCTAATTCCAGAACTCGGGAGGCAGAAGCAGGTGAATCTCTGAGTTTGAGACTAGTCTGGTTTACAGAGTAAGCTCCAGGTCAGCCGAGGCTGCACAGAGAAATCCTGTCTCTAAAAATAAACAAATAAACCAACCAACAAATGAAAGAAAGAAGGAAGAAAGAAAGAAAGATTCCTCAAAACAAAATAAAAACCTGGGCAGTGGTGGTGCACACCTTTAATCCCAGCATTAAAGGTGGAAGGATGCAGAGGAAGGTGGATCTTTGAGTTTGAGCCCAGCCTGGTCTACATAGCAATTTCCTGGACAGCCGGGTCTACACAGAGAATCCTTATCTCATAAAACCAAAAAAGACTGTTTTCCCTGGTATGCCACTGAAGTTCCCATTGTCATCATAGGCCACCACTCCACCTGGTGTTACCGATGTTGTAAGAACAAGTGTATTAAAGTCTTCTTGAGACATCCCTGATGCCAAGATCTGCATCTTTGATTTAGGATGGAAGAGGCAGAAGTTGGTGAATTCCACTTTTTGGCCACTTGGTGTCAGATGAATATGAGCAATCTCTTCCCCGGTGGCTGCCGGTATTTGTGCCAATAAACACATGGTAAAGGGCTGTGGCAAGGATGGCTTTCATATTCGAGGGAGGCTCCACTATTTTCATGTCATCCAAATCAACAAGATGTTGTCCTGTACTGAAGCTGACAGGCTCCAGAGAGTATGTGTGGTGTCTTTGGTACGCTCCAGGGCATAATGGCCAGGGTTAGCATTGGCTAGGGCATCGTATCCATCCACACCAGGCTGCAGAACTAGGAACACGATTGAGGCTCAAGTTCTGGCTGTCAGAGGATCCACATCTCAAAGACATGGCTTCACCAAGCTTAACGCAGATGAGTTTAAAGATGCTGGTTGCTGAGAAGTGACTCAACTCTAACGGCTGTGGGGTCAGGTATATCCCAAATCGCAGTCCCCTGGACAAGTGGAGGGCCCTGCATTCCTGAGGGTTCCCCTGCACCCCGCCAAATCACGTTCAGTAGTAAATCTCACATCCAGTCTGAAAAAAGAAAGACCAAAAGGAAAAAGAAAAAAAAATCCCCTCATTGGTGTGCCCAGCCATTTGGGTTTTAGTTAATTCCAGATGTAGTCAAGTTGACAACTAACAACAGCCGTCACAAATACCTACTATGTGATTGCATTAGTAGGAAGTTTACTGGCAGATAGAACCTATCTACAGAACAGAAGTCCAAATAATGGGTACTGATAGGGAGTCAGATTCAAATTGGAGAGGACACAAGGAGCTGGAAATGTTCTGAGTCTTCACTAGATAGTGGGTAAGTAGGTGTGGTAGCAGGTGAGCTGAGGTAGTAGGTAAGTAGTTGTGGTAGTAGGTAAGTTGTTGTGGTAGCAGGCGACCTGAGGTAGTAGGTAAGTACATACACAGACATTTGTCAAGGTACAGATTTTACTGGGTTTGAGTCATATCCAAGAAAAAAATGGAGTCTATATTTTAAGAGCAATGGGAAGCCATGGCTGGGGTTTAAGCAGTGACTTGACATAATTTGTTGTTCATTTATAAAAGGTCACTCAGCTGGGTGAAAAATGGATGAGAGGTGAGAGCCACTGCAGTTTCTCCGAGACAGGCAAAGGCACCCTGTTAGGCGATACTGCTAAAAATGGGCAGACATGGAGTTTTTAAGGATATTTAGAAGGGGACCAGAGAGATGGCTTGGTGGGTAAGGGTGTTTGCTGCCAAACCTGATGACTTGAGTTCAATTTTTGCAGCTCATGTAGTGGAGTGTTAGAACCAGTGAGCACAAGGTGTCTACTGATCGCCACATATTCTCTGCACAACCATGTGCACACATGCTCATGCACACGCACGTGCACACACACATATAAAAAAGGAAACACATTTGGAAGGAAGAACTGAGAAGGTATTTCAGATGTAGATAGATGGACAGATGATAAAGGTGGGGATTAATGAATGGAAGAAAGACGAGATGGAAGGATTCTGAGTGGATAGATACACAGAGGGCGAGTGGATGGGTAAATGGGTAGGTCTGTGGAAGGAAGAAATGACAGACAGATGAGTGTGTGTATGGGTTTGTGGATACAAAGAATATGGATGGGTTTGTGGCTGGGTGAATGGGTGGGTGGGTGGGTGGGTGGGAAGTGACACAATGGGTGGATGGCAGATGAATAGATGTGTTGGTGGCGGGATGATGAGTGGGTGAACAGGTAGACGGAAGAACTCCCTTCAGCGGTCAGGCTTTCTACTCTGGCTTTTGGTGTCCAGAGGGTAGAGATGAATCATCCTATCTGTGAGCACACTGACTTTCCCCTGAGACATCTGTGTTTACACTCTCGTCATTCCCCAGTGCCCCAAAGAGAAAAACTAGTTACTACGATGCCCACCAAGGAGCAGACACTTACAAATAGGCTGTCTTAATGAGATGAAAGGATCTCCCAGTCCTCTGGGCATTTGGGGGAAGGTTCTGGTGATGCCCATGTGAATAGGGTGAAGCTAGAGTGGAGAAACTTCCTAGGCCTTCCCTCGGGAGTCATGAAGTTGCGTGGTCCCTTCTATCATTCCCAGCAGCAAACCACCACCAGGAGGGCCTCTTCCATTGCCCCCCTTGCTGAGACACTCTCATAAGCCACTGAACTGTTACTAGTAAACTAAGTTAGTTTAGGCCAAAGATTTGGGCTTGTGGCTCCTTCTTGGTGGGAGAGTGATGTGGGAGTGTCATATATCAATCTGTTGATTTCATTGGTTAAGTTATAATAAACCAGCTGCTTGGCCTCATGGCTTGGAACATAGATGGGAGGAGTAAACAGAATAGAATTCTGGGCGGAAGAGGAAGTGAGGTCAGACACTGCGCTGCTTCCAGAGGGACCGGACAGCCGCCATGCTCTGCTTTCCCAGGCAGCTGCAACCCTCGATGGACTTAGGCTAGAATCTTCCCGGTAAGCGCACCTTGGGGTGCTTACACACATCATTAGAAATGGGCTAGTCCAGGTGCGAGAATTAGCCTGTAAGGGCTAGAGTTCATGGGCCAAGCAGCAGTTAAATGAATACAGTTTGTGTGTTGTTATTTCGGGCATGAGCTAGCCAAGCGGCCGGGGTGTTGGGGACGCAGCCCCGCCGCTCCTATTTCAACAGGAGAGAAGAACTCACCCCTTACATAAGCCCTCAGTACATTTCGATGATGGCTGACCTTCCAGCCCTTTCAGATGCCAGCTAAGTCATGTGGCCCGGGCACCACCACTTCCAATCAGTTGGTCCCTGTGATTTATCCCTGTTACTTCATAATAGTAGGGCAAGGGAAGACAAAGAGGGCAAAGGTTTGGTAGTGCAGGGACAGTGGCTGTTTGCAGAGGCAGGAAGGTCTGAAATCCTAACTGGAAATGACTAAGACGATCCAGAGACATGCTGGCTCCAGGTGCCCCTACGACATGCCTTTCCCAGACTTTGTGACTGGCTAATCTCTCTCCCTGTGGGAGTCTGACAGCTCAGCCTCCAGAGCTTTCTCTCCTCTCCCCAGGCTGGCTGAGTTTGTGCTATTTGGATAAACAACATTCCCCTCTTGGGATGCCAGCAACAGACTTATTTACCTGGTGGCAACCAACCAATTCCTTCCCACCTACCCCCATCTGAGATGCCAGGATACAGGGCAGGAGCTGGCACCTTGTAATACTCATGGATGGAAGACCTGGTCCCCGAGGGTGGTCAAAGTTCTCACACCAGCTACAGGGATCCAGGGCTAGGTACCACAAAGTCACTGTGCCCAGACCTGTGATTTCAACCAGTAATTCAATATCTTACATTCAAGTAAAGATGTAGCTGTGCTATTTCCCTCTATGCCCCAGTCATGATCAGACCCTTTATACTTTTAAACCCTGTGTGTGTGTGTGTGTGTGTGTGTGTGTGTGTGTAGTGGGTGAGATTACTTACTCAGTCCAGGCCTCCAAGAGGCAATACAGCCGAAAAACAAAAACAAAAACACAGGGGTAGTGTCCAGCTCAGGAATTTTGCAGTCACAGGCTGAACCATCCCTGTCTATGGCTGCTGTGAGAGTCTGGGGCAGGGTACAGTTGTACCAGCTGTTGGAGACAAATTATACTATGCAGCTCAGCCGTGAGTCACATTCCAGCACAGGGGAAATGTGCAAAAGTTATACGCCGTCTTTGGGGGGTGCCAAAAAAATCATCTTGGTTTTGTCTTGCAAGATGTTCAGCTTGCAGAATGTGGGGCAGACGGAGGGAGGGGGTGGGGAGGACACAAAGGGGAGCAGATCTGTCTCCAGCCGACTTTGCCTGTCACACACCCTCCATCGCTTCTAATAACAACACCCAGCATTTAATCAGCCCCTTTGTGGAAACAGGCGATGTCACACTCATTAATTAGTTAATCCACACAGCCCCCTGGGAGGAGGAGCCATGTTATTATCTCCACTGGGACCCAGAGGGAAACTGAGGCCAGAGTGAGGATTTGGCACAGAGCTCAGGGAGCTCAGTTAGGCGGCTGGACCAGGACCAGTCTATAACTTGTCATTGGTTCTGGGGCCCTCATTTTGTCCTCCTCTGTTTGTCCATTCACAACCCTGCTGATTGTCTCCAGTGACACCTGCCAGACTAGGCCAGAAGATACTCTGAGGAAAAGACAAGCGTGGTAGTAAAGCCACACCAGGACAAGTCCCAGAGTGTGTGTTCAGAGTTAGCCACCTTGCATGACTTCTCTTGGCCAAGGATCTCAGAAGTAGGGATAGAAGGACTGGAGAGATGGCGCATTTGCCAAGTGCTTGTTTAGCAAGCATGTAGGCCCGAGTTTAGATTCCCTAGGACTCACCTAAAAAGCTGGAGATGAGCCAGGCGTGGTGGTGCACGCCTTTAATCTTAGCACTCAGGAAGTAGAGGCAGGAGGATCTCTGTGAGTTAATGCCGGCTTGCTCTACATTGAGTTCCTGGACACTCAGCTTACACACACACACACACACACACACACACACACCACCCCACATACACATATACAGCACACACACGCACGCAGGCACACATGCATGCACATGCACACGGGAACCCCAGAGACCCTGTGGAGGACACTGAAAGCCTTGAAAGGATAAAGACTTAGGTCAGCCTGTCAGCCAAATGAGACATGGACAGGAGGCAAGGAAGGGGTAAGGAGTCAGAGGAAGGAAGTCATAAATTCCTTCCGGGAGTTCAAAACCAGTTGCAAAAATAATGCCTGAAGCCTTTACCTGTGTTCCCTTGTTTCTGACTCACATTGCTGAATCCTAAATAATTAACTAATACGTTTTGTCTCTTTTGGAGCTGGTGATTGCACCCAGGACCTCATGCATGCTAAGCACAGAACCTTCCCAGACTCTGTCTTTTCAAAGGGGATGATCACAATCCAAAGCATCCCCTTCCCTTTCCCTTTCCTCTTTCCCCCAGTTGCGCAACGACAGTTTCTTAAACTTTCACTTGTACACAGATCCTCTGAGCATTTTGTAATCAGGCTAAGATCTTGGGTTAGAGGGTCAGAATTTCTAGTAAGCTTCCCTATGGAGCGTCCATGTCACTTACCCAGCTGAAAGAGTTCGAAGGCTATGTCACTGGCGATGACTGTACCTTTCAGTCCTGCTGTGGGACGCCCTACCTGGGAGTCTGTGAAGCAGCGACTCGGTGAGCAGGACATCACCTTGAGGATCCCCTGTATTAGCCTCCCACATTCTGGACTGTCAGAACCGGTTTGGCGAGAGTCGCATGAATGGGAAGGATGATGTGTGAGTGTGTGCTGGACAGCTAAGGGGTGGACTGTAGTAAAACATCTTGGGAAGGCCCCACAGCCATGCTTTCTCCATTGGGAACTTCTGTGAGTAAGGAGGAGGGCCAGTATTGCAGAGGACTTTCTGCCTGGCCATAGGTGATCCACCGTGGTCCCCAGGACCAGTACAATTCTTTCTTCCAGGGGTCTGGAACTTTGAAGCAAGAGGTATTATCTCTGGCTGTCTGTGATTTGTTTTTCTTTGTTTTTTTTTTTTTGTTTGTTTGTTTGTTTTTTTTTGTTCATAGGTTTTTGGTTTTGGTTTTTCAAGACAGGGTTTCTCAGTAGCTATGGAGCCAGTCCTGGAACTCACTCTGTAGACCAGGCTAGCCTTGAACTCACGAACTCACAGAGATCCAGCTGCCTCTGCCTCCTGAATGCCGGGATTAAAAGCCTATGCCACCACCAGACTGACGGAGTGATTTGAATGAATCATGACAATCTAGAAATAGGTCCTTGACCTGCAACCAAGGTCTCCCCCAAATCCTTGTATTTCCTGAATTCCTTGAGGTGTTTGTTCCCACTTCCCATTTTCTTTACCTAAATCAGAGCTTGCCTTTGAAATAGCCATAAGTAATTCTGAATCACCTGGTGAGGGGCGGAACCCCTACAACAAAGGGAAGTCTGTCCTGACCGCAGGGTTTCACTTTCAGCCAGATGTCCACTCAATCACCCTGATTTCACCGGATGACGACTGGGCCCAGGAAACATTTGAGAGACTTTTCTGTGTTAGTCCCCTTTCACCTCTCATGACTTTCTGCTGGACCTTTGGGACCTGGTTGACTGCATCATCATGACCTCTAGATCCACTCATACCCTTGACCCTCTGAGCAGGTGCAGCTCTCAACTTAGGCCCCATGTGCAACGTTGATTCTCTCATGTGCCTCCCGCAGCGACCCGAGATCCTTAAGGGCAGGCCGGCACCCACCCACTCCTTAGACTCAACCGAGCACACCAGTATAGCTGTGCCCCTGCTAAAAAGCAGCTTTCAGGAAGGCGTGTTGAGCGACTTGCAGCGTGAATGAATGGGCGTGTGTGAAGGAGAACAGGAGGGGCGATATTTTTCATTTACCAGAAAATCAAAATTGATCAAACTCCCCTTTGGCTGTCAGGCACGATGCTGGGCGTTGAGGAGGGTGGGGGTAGAAGGGAGGACATAGATAAAGATGTGTATCCCAACTCTTCAAGACGCTGCTAGGTCCCTTGAAGGAGGTGGAACCAGTCTCTCTCCTTTCCTCCCCCCAAACGAACCAGTTCTCCGGTGATCTTACTTGCTATTTTTCCTCTCCCACGCTAAACCCTGTCACGCGGGGCCCGGAGGAGGGGGAACCCAAGCAGCCCCCATGCCCCTGTACAGTGCCTGTGGTCCAACCCCTCTTGTCTGCCCACGGAGCCCTGGTGGAGGCCTCAGTCCCGCGCCCACCGCCCCCACGCGCGGGGAGCCGGGCTCCCGCAAAGGCTCCGCCAGCTCCGGCCTGAGCGCCGCTCCCCTCCCTGGCACTAGGGGGCGCTGCCGCCCCACGACCGTCGCCATGGTCACCGCTGGCGGCGGAGTGGGGTTTACGTAAAGGACGCAGCGTCCCCCGGGGGGCGGAGGCGGCCTTCGCGCCGGCGCCGGCGCCCTGCGGAAGCAGCGTTAGTGAATAGGGGCCTTGGGGAGCCCAGGATGGAGGTGGCGGTCGCAGCGGCCGCGGCGGGCCGAGCCCTGCGGCGGGCGGGAGGTAAGGGTGCCCGGGCCCTGGGCACGGGCGCGGTGCGAACGGCGGGGCGGGCTGGGCAGTGTCCACTGCGCGTGGTGGCCCGTCCGACGGGTCCGCGGGCGGAGGTGCGGCTGCCACGCGCGCCTGTGGCAGGTGTGAGGTCCGCGGAGCCCCGGGCCACCGGCATGAGAATGATGACACGCATGGCACGGGCGTGGACAACGTGGATCCAGCACGGGCAGCGTGATTTTTCCCGGCAAGGGTGTCAGAAGACTCACCCCCGCCTTGGTGTGGCCGTGGCCGCCCAGGTGTGAGGAGGGTGCACCCTCTGTATTGGAGAGTGATGCACGCAGCTGGTGCGGGGTGGGTGGCTAGCTAGTTCTGGGCCATGGTGCTGAGGTGGGCATGGGTGTGAGGAAGTGCTGCCATTGCCTGGATGT